TCTCTCTCTCTCTCTCTCTCTCTCTCTCTCACACACACACACACACACACACACACACACACATCTTAGTTTAGTTCTCTCTTACACTCTCTTGATTTCCTTTCCCCATACTCTTTGTCTTTCTTTCTTGCTCTTACTCTCCACCCTTCCTCTCATTGCCAGGTTCAATATGCTGGCCATGTTCATTGTACTACTTTCTCTCCCTGCTCTGGACTTTTCCAGATGCATCTAAATGTGCTCTCCCTCATAGCTCCAATAAAACCGCATCCTCAACTATAGCTTGGAAAGGTCAAGTCATCAGTTTATACATCAGTTTTATATCTATATCTACCTATATCTATCTATCTATCTATCTGTCTATCTATCTATCTATCTATCTCTAGAGAGAGAGAGAGAGAGAGAGAGAGAGAGAGAGAGAGAGAGAGAGAGAGAGAAAGAGAGAGAAAGAGAGAGAGAGTTTTAACTACTCTGATTTAGGAAAGTTTTTTTCAAGATCTTTTCAGTTCCTTGCCATTTTGTGATTGATATGCCTCCTGAGCCTGGATAGCCATCCTCTTAGTTTAAATTTTGAAAGCTTTTTATAATGGTTTTATTGAATATACTGTTTTTGACTCTCTTATATTTAATAAAATTGAAGCATAACTGCATTATTTCCTCTCTTCCATTTCCTCCTTCTAGCACCTTTAATATATTTTTTTCTGGGATTTTATCTAACTCAGTCTCATTGTGGACCAGTACTATGATATTTTCCAAGGGGAGAAGGTCATATTTCCTTGATTTGTTCTCTTCCTTGTTCCATTCCATTGAGATCTATGCATCTGAGTTATTCATCGATTGGGTTTATCAGTTGTTCTATTGCAGTCAAAATGTTATCAGTATTCAATTGATATAATTTATATGCATAGTTTAGAATTAATACCCCTGTCATGTACTCATTGTGCCTGGTAAATGTTAGGAATATTTTCTAACACGAGCTCTCTGCCGACACAAGATCCCAATCAAGCCAAATCAAAACAAACCAAATTGAAAGAAATCCAGGCTTAATTGAACTCCTGCACTCTCGGGTGGTCCCAAGAGAAACCAGAAAGCTGCCAATGCGACTACATGGGAAAGAGGGAAAACCACGTGCTGATTTTTGGGGGAGCAGTTTAAATAGCCTTGGGGAGTGGTCTTGACTTTTTTAGGGGAGGTGTCAAGGTTTGGTCGGCTACTTTGACCCTCCTTGGAGAGGGGTAAGGTTCAAGGGGCACAGGGGCAAGGCCTCCAAAGATGGAGGCTGGAGATGGGGATTTACAGTAATACTTGAATATTATCTGTAGAATCAGCCACATTGCTGGATAAAATTTTATGAAAGTGTCCTTTTAGCCAGTTAGTAAGCATGATCCTTTTAACTCCAGTAACTATTGGAGGAATAATATATATGGGTAGTATGGTGAATAGTAGAGTATTACCAAGATTCTAAGTAGGAGGGATGTGGTCTAGATAAGGATTGGGATTCCTGTTAAATTAATTGGAAGGAAATTAAGATGAGGAAAAATATTTGGGAACAGAGCATTGGGATGTTGTTAGTTTCTATAGTTTAAACCTTTTTAAAAAATTTTTGGAGATCTAGAGTTAATAAGAAAAAGAAGTGGGGGCAGGAAAGACAAAATATCAGAAGAAGTAGGAACGAGTGAGAAAATACATTGTTTGTATGTAGGAAGATTATCACAAAGTACATAATAGTACAATGGTTTAAAAGCAAACACAACAATCATACAAAATGAGCAGTGTATGACCTAAAGCCCAACCATTATGAAGCATTTATTCAAGAGTTAAGATTAAAAGAGAAAAAGAAAAATTAAAATTCACAAAACTTTCAACAGTAGCAAGAATGTATAATAAAAGCACTTTGGATTAAAAACATCATGTCAGTCAAGATTTCTTTTATCCTGGAATGTATTTTGAAAATTTTCTTCCCTTCCTGCACTAATGGGAGCATTGCGATCGGTTTGGTATTCCAGTAGACATCTGTAAAGCCTGATTTTGTGTACGCATTGTCTCATAGAGGTTAGCTAGTATCACTTTGGATTGAGCTTTTGGCACAGCCGCAGTGAGGTGAGCCGTGCAGTTCTCAGTTCCCTCCTTGGTACTCTCTGTGCTTTGGCAGCATTGTTCTGGAGAAGACAGGTTGGGATCTGTTGCCATGGGTTCCCAATGACTAAAGCTACAGACTTGGTTTAAGAGAGTGTGTCAATTGCCCTACCACATTTCAGGCCCTGGACCCACCCAGCTCTCAGTTTTTGTGGCAGATCTTTCTTCAGGCTCTGCCACAGTGTACTGGTACTCAGAAAGGGGAAGGCGGTATGAGCTTTGGTCCTGCAATTCCCGCTTAACCTCAACTGGAACCCTGCTGTGAGAAGGAAAGCTTTAGTTCCAAGGCCTCATCTCCAATTGCTAGCCAGTCCTTGGTTCTCAGCTAACTGCTACAGCAGCTCTGCTGAGTGTGTGTACTGCAAAGTGCTTCCCTGTGGTTTCCAATTACCTCACCAGAGCCAATTTGTGCAGCTAGGCACTAGTTCACAGCCACTCTTGTCTGCTTCCCCACAGAGATCTCACTTGGCTTAATAAGCCCATTTAGAGCTACTGTCTCTTGCAAGGATAAAGATGACCCTGTTCTCTCCTGTTTTCTTTCAGTGGCTTGCATCATGAGGTCTCTAATCTGCCAACTTCCCTAAAAATGTCTATTTTTAATTTTTTTTTTTGAGAAACATCTAAGCTATTTTACAATACGACTTTATTCTTACGACCGTGTGGAAGAGTTCTTTTTCTACATCCTTACCAGCATTAAAAGCAAAATCTTCAGTATTATTTCTTTTCAAAATCGTGTTGTTTGAAAAGTCTTTCCCTGGTTAGTGAGGTAGAGCATGGTTTCATGGCCCTGTAGGTTATTGGTATGTCTTCTTCTGGAAAATGTTACTTTCAATTTAATGCATCCTACTTAATTTGAAAGAAAGACGGGACCCAGTCGTACCTGACTCCAAATGTATTTCTTCGGCATTCACGGTCACTGAACAAGTTGCACACACTCTCTGAACTGTGGTTGTCTAGTCTGTAAAATGAGGTTCACAACAGTTTCCTGGCAGGACAGTTACAAAACTAAACAAAATAATGTTCTTGAGAGAGTTCTTTACAAAGTACAGATGACCAGATGAATAGAAATTCTTTATAGTTAAAAGTTTTCCAGAAGCAGTATTGCCATATATGTGGCTTTTTTCTGAACTTTCAAGTGGTGTGGAAGTAAATGGCAGTCAGAGAGGCACTAAGTCAAACGGAACTTTCATCATGGTCTTCCTTTTCTGGATTTCATGACAGCAGCTTGACAGATTAACAGACCTCTTTTTTCCCTCAAAGAAGTGCAGGTTTGCCAATGCAGATGATTTTAAAGGTAATAACCATGTACACGAGAGGACCATTTATAAACCATTTATCATGAAGTCTGATGTGGTACTTAAAAGAGATATTTTTGTCAAGACAAGAAATTTGTTGCATTAGATTCGTCCTAATAACCAATATGACCTATCCTGTGGTAGCCTTGTCATGGCCTTGGAATTCCTCCACAACACTTTGGGCATCCCTCTGTAGAATACATGTTAAAACTAGAGTTAATACTATCTTTTGATAGCCTTGGGCTTTAGTCTTTTTATTTTTTTAACTTATAAATGGAAGAAGGAATTAGGATATTTTTTTTATTTCTTTTAGTCGATAGAACATGCTATTTACTTAAAAACCCCAGAAGATTCTTAGTGCCCTTAGAAAAAAAGATGTTTCTCATCAAAGTTCCCAAGTTGTCTGACCTATATTTTCCTTCCCCTTTCTTTATTTATGAATCAGCCGTGTTAATCTTCTTATCCATGAAACAATACTAATTTGTACTTCACTTGGGACTGCATTAGCTCTACGTCATTCCCAGAAAGCAGTTACTCAGGGAGCTCTTCCCAGCTCCCACTCTGAATCACATCACTGCATCACATCAACATAATTCTGTTCCTGGGCCCTCAATGTGTGTGTGTGTGTGTGTGTGTGTGTGTGAGAGAGAGAGAGAGAGAGAGAGAGAGAGAGAGAGAGAGAGAGAGAGAGAGAGAGAGAGACAGAGAGAGACACAGAGAGAGACAGAGACAGAGAGAGACAGAGACAGACAGAGAGAGACAGAGACAGAGGGAGAGAGAGAGATACCTACAATCATACTGGCCACTTTGCAAATGTGAGGTAAGTAATTGATGAATGAATAAATGTGCAAAAACAAGCACGAGCATACAGAAACTTTACTGACTTTCTTCTTCTAGCCTTTATAGTAAACTCTAATATCATCCCCAATTGAAGAAACAACAGGGGATGTGAAGTAAGTAAAAACTAAGGAGTCCCTGCCTTGATCTCAGTTTTCATTGCGTTTCTTTTTATTCAAAAATTTACCTTTAATTGGACCATTCTATGCTTCACCTTGTTTCCTATTGCCGAATCCTTTCTCAGACAGTTTTCTTAGTAAAGCAGACCCTTCAGAACAGAGGCCACATTAGCTTTCTTGATTCTTCCACATTCCCCAAACCTGGTATTTTGTTTCTAAACCTAATTAAATGTACTTTGCTTTGTTTAACAGATATCTCGAATGCAAAAATTCTGAACCTTGATATGTACATATCTCTTTATGAGGTATCATAGTATTGCATTAAGCTCTCCCTGGCCTCTGAGTCTGCTAGCCTCACTTCGTGATTGAACACTGACTACTATTGCATACGATTTGTATTTCATTGTATATGCTTAACTGAACTGAACTAATAAGAGCCGAGAATGGATGGAACTTCTAATATTGTTCTTTCTTAATTTTTTTCTTAAACATTTGTTTCTTTATTTCTTTCACAAGACAGACAGACAGACAGACAGACAGACACACACACACACACACACTTCCTGGTTTCTTAGATGTACAAAAAAAAAAAAAAGCACTGATCAGAAGAGTTTACCTTGGAGAGCTCCTGTCCAGGGCCACACTGCTGGCAGGTGACACAGTGCCCCCATTGGTCCTGGTACTCATTTTCTTGACAATCCATGATGAAGAAACTATGGGTACAGAAAACAATTGCTACTGAGAAAACCAGAAGATTTTCAAGCAGGGGCTTTCCTGACACCTTGTTTCTGTGTCTTCTTAACTGTGGCTTTTAGTGAGAATGGCCAAAGAAGGGAAACTAATATAGGTAAAACTTTTAGAGTACAGATGGTGTGCCTAGAACTCTTCTAAATGCTTCCTATGTGGCAATATATTTGATTCTCAAAAAATAATGACACAAATTATTATAAATTCCACTTTACAAGTAAAAAAAAAATCACAAAGGCACAGGGACAAAGAAATGTTCAGCTCTACCAGGAGCTCACTGTCAATAAACAAAGAAACAAGCAAGCAAAAGAATAAATAAGTAAAACTGTTGGATTCTTTTTTCTTTCTTTTTCTTTTTGAGACAGGGTTTCTCTGTGTAGCTTTGGAACCTGCCCTGGAACTTGCTCTATAAAACAGGCTGGCCTTGAACTCACAGAGATTTGCCTGCCTCTGCCTCCCAACTGCTGAGATTAAAGGTGTGTGCCACCACTGCTTGGTTAGTTGGATTCTTTCTCGTGGCTACAAACAAATATGTAAAAATCTCTTAAGAATTTAAAAATCACTTTCACACTTATTTTGTTATATTTGCAAATACTTTTGATATTTTTTAACTTAAGCAATGTGAAAAATATCTTTATTTGTGAATGAAAAAAAAAATGAAACATGATTCTTCTTTGCCAAACTGTCTGATTACCCTGACAGGCCCATTCCATTTCAACTTGCAGTCTTGGATGGATTACTAATGACCTCAGTTACTTAAACTGAAGAAAATGAACATCATGCTTCTGTCTTTTACACCAGACAGGTTTTTGAAAGGATTAAATGTGTTAAATTCCTTAAGTAATCATGAAAAACTATACAAGTAAAACAGTGTTAATATGGAGATAGGTGGCTTTGCACAAACACAATTTTTATAACATGGTGCCCTTCTCTCTAAAATAAAACTCATGATGGGACTTTTTTTGTTACTCCCAATCTCTTGTAAGACTGTATTTCAGGTGGGTTCTCAACATACTGATTGACCTTAATATATGCTTCTAATTATAAGAGAGGACAGTGTGACCACCAATCATCTCCACAAAGGTCACCAATAGAAATATATGTGTTAGCTGGCATTTTTGTTGAAGTATAACTTTTCCCAATAACTCTTCTTTCTAATTTCTTCACTCAATGGAAGGTGTCCTATGAAATTCACTTTCGGTACAAAATGAACACACTTTCTCCTCTATTGTTTCCAACTGTCAGCCTCAGAAGGCAAGCTTCCCATCTTCATTCTCTATACTTCTCATTGGGGACAAAAACTATTAGTAGTCTCTTAACACTCAACAACAATGGAATTCAGGATTATGGTAACAAATCCAGCATGGATTGTCTAGAGAAAACTTTTCCTGCGTGGTTTTCTTTAGAAAGAAAGAAAGAAAGAAAGAAAGAAAGAAAGAAAGAAAGAAAGAAAGAAAGAAAGAAAGAAAGAAAGAAAGAAAGACAGACAGACATTGACAAGATCCACAAAGCAAAATTCCTTTGAAGATAAATTCTTAACAAAAGCGCCTGAAATTTTTCACGGAAGCTACTGGCCTATTTTCACTTTGGTTTCCAAAGCCCAATTCACCCAATAAAAATTAAATTGCCTGAACACATAGTATCTCCCTTTAGCCCTAGTTTGAGATTCCTGTCTAGGTAGGCTTTCCACACATACCCAGACATAGCAAATAAACACAGATTTTTTTTGTCCCTCTTGTTATTTTAATAAAAACAATTATCCAAAACATAAATTAAATTGTCAATTGGAGTTTGAAAACTATTTTCTTTGAAAAGAAACAAAGCCATCTGTATGCTAGACTGTTCTGAAGTATCCTGGTTATATTGATAAAACTGCCTAATAACTAATAAAGGTCATCACCATCAATAATGTGAGGCCTTATATGAAACTATTTCCTGTGAATAGCAGTGTCCTACAGCAGATGTTAATTTATGGTAAGAATAAGAAAGAATAATCAGACATTGTGAATACAACTATTCTTAAATATCCTATTACTGACTCTGTCCTCCTCCTAAGTGTTACAGAAGATGTAGTTTTGAACAAGTCAGCAATGCACAGTCAGACCTATGAATTTTTTAGTAAAGAATCTTAATGCCCAACACCAAGTTAATACAGAAATAGTAAGCCAACAGCGCTTGCTGTTTGTTAGTTTGTGAGCACACTTACTTTCCTGATCTATGATTAATTATGTATGTGTCTCAGAAACTTAGATCATTTCTCTCTCCAATAGTGCTTTTCCAGACAATTCATTGTAAACCCATTCCAAGTAGACTTGGATGTGAATCAGAACTCTGCCATTTGCCAGCCTTTAAATTTTTTTTTTATTTTACCCTTAATTTTTTTATTTTAATAATACACACCCTCCATGGTAATTTATAAAGAACTAGATGTTCTTATGCTAAAGGACCTACTATGGTCGCGTGGTGGTGGCACACACCTTTAATCCCAGCACTCAGGAGGCCAAGGCATGTGGATCTCTATGAGTTCGAGGCTAGCCTGATCTACAAGAGCTAGTTCCAGGACAGGCTCGAAAGCTACAGAGAAACCCTGTCTCGAAAAGCCAAAAAAAAAAAAAGAAAAAAAAATAGGACCTAGTATGGAGCTGTGTGCAAGTGCTACTACATGGTTATTAGACACTTCTCTTTACATTTGCCCCTAGTTTACAAGAGATTTTTTTTTAGAAGTGTAAAGAATTCAAGGGAAATTGCATTTATCACTCCAGGCATTTGCAGGAAAAAAAAGGGTGAAGCACATAAAATACTTCAATGGCCCATGTCATCAGGAACATGGAAGTCACAGCAAAGAAGCGGGTGTCTGCAGAAGACATCCCTCCTTGGTAACTGCTCCCACCAACAACATGATGCTTAAGCACATGTGCCCTTCAATGTGTGCAGTATCTAAGTCACCTTGGCTAAAATGAACACTGTATTAGTGTTCGTTGAATATTTTTCCATCAGGATATTCCCATATAAGAACACAGTGAACAAGGCTTAGAAAGTTTTCTGAGATAATTACTTCTGAAATGGAAATGCAAAGAAAATATATACAAATTAACTGCGAGGGGGATGATGTTAGGGACTTTACTGAGTAGCAGGTCATTTCCCACCGAACAATCACTTTTATTGTCACATCCTAGTGCTCTGGCTGATCTTTGACGTGGGACTGTGTTCTTTTTATCTCATTCCATTAGTGGAAAGGGGGGAAATGAAAGGAAGTATCAGGCCTCTCTTGTCTTCTCTCCTGGAGCATGACACAGGCTGGGTGGGGTTCTTTATGCTTCTGCCAAAGTTCAAAATCCACTCAACTGTACCAAAACAAGTCACACTGAAAAATTCTTTCTGCCGCCACCTTGCCCAACAAAACAGGAAGAAAAATATAGTCCAAGAAAATAGATGAACGTTGAAGAAATCTCAAATGCAGAGGACAAATTCTGAGCTTTGTGACAGGAAATACTATCCATGTAAACATATAGAATCTTTACATTGCCTACTCAGGTTACATTGCCTACTTGTACCCCTTTTCCAGGAAACATGACACCTTCCTGCAGGTGACTGTCATTATAGTTTCTGTCATTATATATTTTCACTGCCATTTATATGTCATCTAAATTTAAATATAGAAATCACCTTTTTGTTTCTTGTTTATATGATTTTTTTCATAAGAAATATTAAAATGTATAATTTAAAGTTGTTTTGATCAAATCAGATGGGCTTAAATTCTTGGGAGCTCAGATAATAATGTTTTTAAGCTTTAGCAAAATACCAGAAGCAACCAAAGGGCAGGGTGAGAAGACAAGTTTTTATATATTTTAGTACTTAAAAATCCAAAATGCTTTTGTCTCAAAATGTGATTAGGAAACTAGGAAATAGCCTCCCCTCCGATCTGAAGTGACTCTGAACCCTGGAGTCCAAAAGTGGAGCTGAATTCTGGACAACATGAGTAGGCAGCTCAAGAACTCAGATCCTGATGGTCTGTCCAGCAGACACCTCTAGAGAAGGAAAAGTTGCTGTTAGTTCTGAATATGCTTCTTTTCTGGAAAAAGAATGCACATCCCTTACAACCATGGGTCATCAAGCATTCATCATTGTTTTCAGAGTCTGAAGAAATTGAAGTCCCCCCCCCCACACACACACACATTTTTTTGGTCTGTTGAGTCACTTAGGCAAAGTCTGAGTAAAAAGTAATCATAATTCACTATGTCACTAAGGATAACGTGGGCTACTGCTCCCAGCAGACTCTTACCCCTTCAGGGAGCAGCTCCCTTTTAGCCAGGGAGTGTGATTTACAATTGGGTCCCACACAATGCCATGAGGAAGGCCTGGGCTTCCAGGAATGGCCATGACCTTCAGGGAAAGTATGATATCCTGTAGTGAGCCTGAGCCTTCCAGTTTCGGCTTCCAGTGGCATCTCAATCATATCCATCACCAAAACCCATATACTGCAGGATGCTTGTTCCCTTCTAAAACAGCCTCTTCAACACATGAAATGGTACTAGTATCAGGCCTGCCATCTACTGGGCCGGGCTACATCCTCTACTACTCATGAGATGCTATTTATCAGAAATCTCGATGAATTTTGAATTACTGTGGCTGGGTATTAGTAGTCTGTTTACTTTTGAATTTCACAATGCACCTGCCAGGCAGGCCCTCTCTTGTTTGAGTAGCCCACAGGAGCTCCACAGAGTAAAGAGAAAGCCAAAATGCACTCAAGAGGAAACTCTGGGTTTCAAGTCTTTCTTTATGCCAGTATGGCAGCTGTGGAAAGGTATATACTAAATGTTCTCACCTTATCTGTCCTGAAATAAAGATACAGGTAAGAAGCCCTACATGTATAAAACACTGCACATGCCCTCATGTGCTTGGATGTTATGTGAATATACACTAGATACTGACCTTATGGACATAATGACTGCAGCTTACAGTTCAT